GCTACTAATGGATTTGAACTAATAGAAACTCGTTGTTTAATGGTTAGTAGTGCAGCACCCTATGATCCAAAATCAGCATTGTTGGTATCAATAGTAAGGAGATCAGGAGACATATTGCTTTGAGGAAGTCTGCTGTCAGAGACTTTTTCAAAGTCCTGAAAATGCAGTGTTGATGATTTAAAGACCGAAGTGTGGCTGATTGGAACCATGGTCTTTTCAGTCACCAGCTGTGTTTTGGAGGGCTGAACAGTGAATAAGGGTGACAGCAGATGAGCCAGTGCCTTTGAGTTGTGGAGTTGGAGGAGAGTACTGAATATCCTTTAGATGACCAAAGAACAGATCTGTCTTGAGTGAAGTTCAGCCAGAGTGCTCCTTAGAGGCATGGATGGTGAAGTTGTGGCTCTATTCTTTGGAAAGGGACATTGTGCTTGGAAAACTGGAGGGTGAGTCAAATGTAGGACTACCCTTAACGAATTGGATTAACACAGTAACTGCAGCAATGGGCTCAAGTATGTCAGACATGGTAAGAACGGTGCAGGATAGGACAGGCTTCGAAGATCCATTGTTCAGAGGGTTGTTGAGTCACAGTCACCTTGAGGGCACATAACAACAACTGTAGTCACACATATTTTGCAATATTCTGGAACATGACCGGTACTAAGGAATGTATTACAGCGTCATTCCGAAGCTAAGACAAAGTTCAAGATTAATGAAAGAATGTATTTTCTAAAATTTGTGGAAAAAACTTATTGAATTTATTAGACATTGTAATGTTAGAAGATAATAGTACTTGGAATTTCAAGATGTGAAAGCACTTTGTAACGTATTAGAATGGGGTATCATAGCGATCTTCCAGTGGATTTTTGAAGGCTGTAAATTGCACAGTTTAGAGCCTTCTCCTTTAGTAGCTGGTGGTTTAGAAGCCTCAGAAAAGCACTGTCTTTGGGTTAATAATACAACTTCCTGTACCCCCCCTCCCCCGGCTCCACAGTATATTATAGACGATTTTGTTTTGTGTTATTTTCCTATAGGAAGAATACTACTCTGATAAGCAGTTCACAGAGCAATGGTTCTTAGCATTTTTAAAAGTAGAACTCCCTGATGTGTTGGGTTGTTAGTGCTGTTGCGGCAGATCCGACTCCTAGCTGGTCTTCAAAGGCAGTAGATCACACAGGAGGAGCCTGCCTGTCCTTCCCCGTGGAACAGCTGGTAGATTCAAATCATGCACTTATGGGTTAGCAGCACACTATTTTTCATGTAGATTTAAGAAATTCAACCTTCTCCTCCTCTTTGTATATATATTGCCTCCTACCCCTAAAAAAAAATTCCCTGGTTTAAAGAAATACCTAACTCTCTCTGTATTGTTTATTTGCTGAGCTACACCAACCTTCTGAATTAGTGATTCTCAGCAGAATGGAGGTATGTCTACATTACAATCTTTTGTGATGTTTCAACCATTATTTGTTTTGCTTCTTGACCCGCTACTTAATAATCTTCCTAAAGATTATTAAAAATTAATGGAATACACAGTGACAAGAAATTGCTAAAAATTTAAGCTGCATTCAGAAGAGGCTATAGAGTGAAATCTATCATTGATGATGTCAGATAAATCTTAGCTGACAGCAAAGAACATCATAAAGATGCTGACTTGAATTTAACTGATGATGCAAAGACATTTAACTGTGTGGATCATAAATTATAATTAATCTTGAGAAGAATAGGAACTAAGAACAGTTAATTATACTGATGCAAAATTTGTATTTATACCAACTAAAAAAAAAAGCAGTTGTTTGAACAGAATAATAGGACAAGGCATTGTTTAAAATCAAGAAAGGTATATGTCAGGTTTTTATCCTTTCTCTATACTTGTTCAAAATGTGTGCTGAACAGATATTTGGATTTGAGAATTGGCACTATATAAAGAAGAATTGTTATCAAATTTGGAGGAAGACTCAACAACAACTTATGCTATGCAGATTATACAACTTTGTTTATATAAAGCGAAGAAAACTTAAGATTGAAGTTGTCAAAGATTTAATTTAATTGGATCTTTAATCAATATCCATGGTAGCAGCATCGACGATATCAAAGACATGTTGCACTGGATAAATCTGCTGTCAAGGATTGCAGTAAAGTGCTAAAGAGCAAAGATGCCATTTTAAAGATCAAGGTATGCCTGACCAAAGGCATGATACTTTTGTTGCTTCATATTAATGTGAAAATGGAACAGTGAATTAAAAAGATAAGAAAACTGGATAAATTATGTATACTGCATTGAAGCTGATGAGGGAGAGAACAGTTTAAAAGTAATATATTTTAGGGCATTTTGATGATCATAAGAGTTTGGAATGAGGGTTGCAGAGTGGAGTATACTCAGGGTGGGGGTGGACGGCACTGCGGGGGGATTGTATACCAATGAAGGAGTTTTTCTTTTGCTTTTCAAGGAGAAGAGTGAACGGGGGTGGGGGTGGGGTGGACGGGGAGACAAGTGCAACAGTGAATGAATGGAAATCCAAAATCTCTGTAAATATTCATTGAAATTAATAAAAGCAACAACAACAACAATAAAACCCAATACATTGTGTTTTATAAAAAAAAAAAAAAGACTGAAGAGTTGAGGTCTTTGAATGGTGGTCTTGGTGGGGATTATTGATTATCCTATGGATTGCCAAAAGAACAAACAAATCTGTCCTGGGTAAAGTGCAACTGGGGTGTTCCTTGGAGGCAAGGATGCTGAAATTTTGCCTCACATACTTTCAGCATGTTGTCAGAAGATACAGTCACTGTAACAATGGGTTTTGAGTGTGGCAGAGACTGTGGTGATGGTGCAGAATAGGGCAAGATTTGATCTCTTGTTCGTAGAGTTGGTATGATTCAGAGTAAAGCCAGGACTCCAAATCACAGTATCTTTATTAACATAATAGTTTGGCATTTTACATGTGTAATAATTCAACAGCCATCTAAAACCTCTGATGTATAAGTTTGTGTGGATATGAAGATGAAAAACAAATTAATGCCTGTATTTTATTAAGATAGAGACTATTAATTAAACTGAAGTTATTTTACTGCTAAATTGCAAATAGAGAATTTAGGTTAGTAGAAGAAAAAATATAATATACACATCAGAAAGCTGGACAATGAATAAGGATGACAGAAGAATTGATGCCTTTGAGCAGTGGCACTGGAGAAGAGTATTGAACATACATAACGTGGATTGCCAAAAGAATAAACAGGCCTGCCATGGAGGTGGTGAAGTCAAACTGCTCCTTAGAGGCAAGGATTTTATACTTGGGGGATGTTGTCAGAGGAAGACAGTACTTGGAGGACATCATGCTTGGAAGGGTGGAGGGACAGCACAAGAGAGGAAGATCCAGGATGAGATGGATTGACATAAAGAAGGGGATGAGATTGAGATAATGGGGGGGGGGGTAGATGTGTCAGAGACAATGAGATTGGCTCAGGATAGGGCAGAGCTATTGTACTTAGAGTCTAATGAGTCCAGGTGACTAGATGGCACTTAAAAACAACAATGGAAAAGTTGAGATAAAAGGGACCTTATCTTAGGATTTTTAAATTCTTTTTGGATGAGCCCTAGCACTTGGTTATGTTCAGGTTGGTTAGGAGGGAGATTTTGTGTGTGTGTGTGTGTGTGTGTAAAACATGCCCAAGGAGTAGGTGTGGACCCATTTTTGTCTTTAGTTATTGTAGGTCCAATATTGTATGACCTATGTTGATAAATGTAAGATTTAAAAAAATCAATTTGTTAATTAGTTCTGTCTTCTCATTTTAATGATAAAATCATGGAATTCCAGGGATTAAAATTTGCCACCTTAGATTTCCCAACTTTGATTCAGTGCTGTTTGGTTAAATCATACTGCCTCCATGTGGCTTTGAGAATATTAAGAATCTTAACCATTTTGTATAATAAACACTCAAGTATTTTAATGATTAAACTTACTGATTTTGACAGTAAGATCTCACTGATGATACTAAGTTTTGGCATGATATTTAAGAGTAAGCGACTAATATTGGTATTGGTTTTATGATTAATTACTTTTTGAGAATGTAACAGTTCTTTAGTGAAGTAAAGTAAGCTTTTATTGTTCTCATAGTTTATTTTAACTCTTAAAAACACATCAAAGGCTCTTCCTAGGGGAATAGTATAGGCTTGATTTTTCTCATATGCACTAAGCAAAAAAAAATTATTAATGATAGTAAATAGTCTTTACATTCAAGTTTTCAACTGGATCCTCATTTACAAACTTCGATAAATATGCAGTTTCTTCTTATATTGTTTCTAATCTTACCTCTTTTGGAACTAGCAAATATATTTACAATCTGAATTCTCCTTAATGAAATTAAAACCAAGATGAGTAAATATGATTTGTAATAAAATCTGATGAAATAAAAAAAATTTCATTGCATGTGAAATTTGTTTTAGATTTGTTTTAAAAATAAATTTGCATTTCTTCATGATTGTTCAATTCTGGCTTTTTGGCAAGATGGATGAGTTAGCATTCTTTATTATTAGTCTGTTAACAGCTAATGATGAGGCAGTTAGTAACTTAGAAATGATTTAAATTCTCTTTTCAGAATTTTAATTAATGACCATTAAACAGGGCTATAAGAACCCTGGTGGCTTGGTGGTTAAAGCATGAGGCTGTGGCAGTTTGAACTCACCAGCTCCTCCACAGGAGAAATAGGAAGCAGTCTGACTTAGGAACCCTTTGAATAGTTGTTCTATGTCCTTCCTATAGTGTCACCATGAGTCAGAATTGATTTGATGTTTTTGGTTTTTTAAAACAAAAGGATACATGGCATCTGCTTAGAATTGTTATGCACTAAAAACTTGTTTTACAAAAACTACTCCTTTTTCTGATAGATCAGTAAATTTCTCAATTCCTGATAATTCTTTTGATAGATATCTAAAATATTATAGATTATTAAGTCATATTCATGCTTAATCTCACTTTATCTCTCTTTTTAAAAATTATTTGCAGGAGAGGGCTTCTCACAATTTATATGGCCAACTTGGTAAGTAATTATTTATTTCCCCTAGGGTTTCATTGTACTTCTTGCTTTTTAATCTTTTTTGAAAAATCGTATCCCCTGAAAATAAAAATGGAAAGGAAACCTGTGTACTTTTTTTTTTTTTTAGGAAACCTATGTACATTTGAGAATTTTTTTGTTTGTTTCTGGTATCAGTAAAGGATAGGCTTAAATATTTAAATGCCCCTGATACCATCTAGTCCATTCTTGCCATATTTTTTACTTATTTGTTTTCATTTTTTTTTCTTACTTGTTTTACTTATTTCAGGAGCAGAGTCACTTACTGTTCTCTGCCCTTCATGACTCTTATTCTTTTTTTAAAGGTTAGACCTTCATGCTAGATTGGGAGTCTATCCATCCATCTATCCTTCATGTTTTATGGGAGATTATATATATATATATTCCTTTTCATCTCCCACCCTCCCTCTACCTACTCAAACTTTGGTCCCTATCCCTTGAATTTCATTTCATATTCTGTCTCTGTTGCCATTTCTTATGAGAACGAAATTTAAGGATAAGGTTTTATGATGTGTATTCTTGGATATTAAAGCAGCATTGGATTCAGTGCTTAAAACATTTAGTAAAACAATTAGCAAAGTTTCTAAATTTCAAAGACTACAGAAAAGAAATCATTTTTTTAATAGTTATATAACATTATCATTTATGGTAAAATATAGGCAAAGTTATATAATTTCTATTGCTGTGATCATATTTTAAAAGTACTTACTTTGAAGTCATTGTAAGTTGTTTGATAGAATTGGTAGGCAATATTAAAAATTTAACTATGAAAAGATAGTTATTTCTCTCATAAGGGTTGTTGTTATGTGCCATTGATTCAGAACAGACTAACCTTCCAGTGGATTTTCTGACACTGTAAATTTTAGGGCAGTAGATTGCTCATCTTTCTCTCTGGAGCAACAGGTGGATTTGAACTCCTGTCTTTGGGTGACAGTACAGCTCCTTACTATAAACCACCAGCACTCAACCTAAGGGTATGTTCTTGAATTCAGAAGTATATTTCATCAAGAGAATGTAGGTCAAAGATGTATTGAACAACTCACTGAAGCTATAATAAAGTACTTCCTTTTTGTTTTTACTTACCAAATGATAATTACTATGCTAGATTGATGCTTGTTACCAAGGTACCCTTGCATGTATGGCTCTTTCTTACTGTTCGGAGTGGAAAAGACATCGCAGTAATAATAATGTAGGAATTGGACTGAAAAATTCATTTATGGAGTGTTATGGAAACCATAATAAATCATTAGACTATTCTGGAGATAGGTTTTGGTTAGAGAAAAGTAGTTCTAACCTTTTTTTGAGTCATGGACAAAAAATTGCTTATGTGTAAATGCATAGTCAAATTTTCCTATAATTTCAAAGTTTCGTGTAGAGACATAGTAGTAAGAAGCTGTACTGCAGTCCTAGAGGCACATGGTTCAAATCCAGCAGTTGCCAGTTGCCGCACAGGAGAAGGATGGACAATCTCCACCTGCAAAATTAACTGCCTCAGAAAACCTGCTGGAATGTCAGCTTTGGGTCAGTTCTGACTTGAAGGTGCACAACAACAGTAGCAACAACAAAACTCTGTTAGAAAGGCTAGCATGTACCATCAGATAAGTTATTTTGAAATACTACAAGAAAGTTAGCAATTCTAAGTTTTTTTGATTACAATGAGCTGGATATTGGAGGACATTAAAAGGGCAGAGCTCTGGTGGCCTAGTAGTGAGGAATTGTGCTGCCAACCTAAAGGGATGTGGTTTGAATCCACTAGCTGTTCTGTGGAAGAAATAGAAACTATCTCCTGTATGATTTATATTCTCTGAAAACCCACTTGAAGGTCTGCTAGGGCTTGATTCTCACTTCATGGAAATGAGTTTTTTGATTCTTTTTTTTTTGTGAGTTCAGAGACTTAATGAAAAGATATTTTTTTTTGTCTCCTGTCTTTTAAAGACTTCTTACTTGACTGTAAATTGTGAGGTCATGGGCTTTCTTTATTATTGTGCTGTGTGCACATAAATAGAACTTGACATATAGTTGTTATTATTGAGTGCCATCAAGTCACCTGCAGCTCATAGCTTATGTACAACAGCTCTGAATCCTGCTCTATCTGGAGCCAGTCTTACTGGCTCTTATATACCTACCCCTATTACCCCAATTGCTTTATCATTCCCTCTCATCCAAGGTCTTCCTCTCCTGTGCTATCCCTCTACTGTTTTAAGCTTGATATCCTTCTCCAAGGACTGGTCCCTCCTGGCCACAAGACCAAAGTATGTGAGACAAAGCTTTAAAATCCTTGCCTTCAGGGAGAAAGTTGGTTTCACCCTCTCCAAGACAGACTTACTTATTTTCTTGTTGGTTCTTGGTATGTGCCATAGTCTTCTCCAGCACCACAACTCAAAGGCAGGCATCAATTCTTCTTAAGTCATCCTTATTCCTTTTCCAGCTTTCTGATACATACCAAGTAATTGCTAAGACCGTGGCCTCATTCAGGCACACCTTAGTCCTTAGACTGTCATCATTACTCTTCAGCACTTTGGAGAGGTCCTCTCTTTGGAGAGAGTGTCATATAGTAGGCATTCAAAAATATTAGTTTAATTAATAAAAATTTCTTGAAGTTTAGACTTCAAAATTGATGGTGATTTTTTTTAATGCCAGCATTTTGAAGTTATTAATCCTTTATCTTTGCTTTTTATAAGTAAATTTTTAGAATCTGTTGTACTTTGGCTTTATTTATATATTTTTTTAAGGAACTCTATTTCATTTTTTTTGTTTTTTTAAAAGATTTTGCTTTACAGAATTTTGCCTTTGGTATATTGAGCTCATTAGAATGAAGACTTGTTTTTGTTTAGTTTATTCAAGTCTTAAGTTAATCTCGTCAATGGTTAGTTTATTGTGAATTCTTATCTGTTCTGTTCTTAAATCTTATCTCTCCCCAGTTTCTATTTTCTCTTGTTCTGGAACTGCTTTTAGATATGTTTTAAACCTTCCTATTTTCTTCACCATGTCTCTTCATCACTCTGTAATGCATTTCTACTTCTCTGTCTCTCTGTGCTGAACTCTGGTTAATCTCTTTAGAACTTTCTCCAAGTTAATGCATCTCTGTATCAGTTTAATATCCATCTTATCTATCCCATGATAAGTTTCTTTCATTGATGACATTTTAATTTTAATTTTTAAAAAGGTGATAAATACTAGGCATTTCACAAAATCGAGAAAAAAAATGGTATATTATTCTTGTAATAATCACCTGACATCATCTTTACATACTTTTATTCAAACTCTTTGATCATCTTTTTATGAGAAAATTTCATAAAATTTCTATAGATAATTCAGTCTTTCTTCTTACCGGATTACATTTTTAAAAATTTCATAATACTTGGAATAGCTAAAAACATGTGACTATATTTAAACCCTTTGAATATTGCTATTAATGCAGGCATAACACAGATTATTACTGTGTCTTTCTCCAGTCCTGTCACCACATTCTTCGTATAGTCAAGTTTCTCAAATGGTTTGGTCAGCATATAGATTAAATAGGTGTGGAGAAAGGATACAACCCTGATACACACCTTTCTTGATTTTTAACCATGCACTGTTCAATCACTTATCTATACTTGAAAGCAATTGGAAACTAAATGAATAAGTATGTTTTGCCAACTTAAATATATTCCAGTTCATTTTCAACTAGATTGAATAAAAAAACTAGGGAGTTCTTATGGCATACTATGCACAAAGTTGCACTGTTAAGTCAAAAGACTAAGTGAAATGTCTCTGAACACGAGTGGCTCCACAGCATAAAGATGAGTGGTTTTCTCCTTCTGTGATTTATAGCCTTTTTAAACCCAAATTTGATGAAAGGTCATCATGAGTCAGAACCGACTTGACAGCAGTGAGCATGTGAATGACCCCAACACTGTTCTTTTAAGGGCAAGTGTAGAATAAAGGAAGTCAGCATGTAAAGTGGTTGTGATGATAGTCACGTGTAGTTAAAGACGTTGCTTTTATAAAGAGCGTAAAAACACGAGCCTGTCAACAGGTGACTTATACCTCTTTTGAATTCTTGGAGGGAGTTTGTAGAAATCTCTCCTTTCTCATTCCCTTCCTACTTCTTGTTAATATTGCACAAGCATGACATGCATTTTTCTTCTTCGGTTCCTTTGTGCTTGCCTTGAACACTTACTCCCAAATACATTGAGGTTGTGCTGAATCGTTACTGTCCCTAGACATTCAAAGGGAAAGCAATCACTTACCATACTTTTGACACTTGATGTATACGCTACCCCATATATTTTAAAAATAATATGCATTTTCAGTTACACATTTATACAGGTTTATTAAGCTAATAATTCCCATTTAACAATTGCTGCACAGGTTTGTTTTTCAGTCTGTTAACATTCTCATTTATCTGATCCTGCATGTTTCTTTTCAAATAATCTGATTCTCTACCATCTTTCCTTTTTATCTTTACTTAAGAGAAACTATTGATCATTTGGTCTTAAATATTGTAAAAAGCAAGGACCTCATGGGGGCAGCCATATCTAACCTTTACCACCTCCACAAAGGGAATTTTGCGCATTAACAGCAGCCATTTCCCATGAGGTGAAACATGCCCTCCAAGCTCCTGTGCCTCATTCTCATTGTTCCAACACCAGTCGTACTGTTATTTATTTTTTAAATTTTTTAGTCCTTATTGTTACTATTTTTAATGAAAATTTACAGAGACTTTGAATTTCCATTCATTCATTGTTGCACTTTTCTACCTGCTCCCTCTCCCCCAAGTTCACTCTTCTCTTTGAAAAGTAAAAGAAAAATTCTTTCATTGTTATACATTCTCTCCCCCCAAGTCCACTCCACTATGCAGCCTTTGTTTTGGAATCTTGTCATGATAATAACTAATCATATATCTCTTTTAAATAGTTTTCTCCCTCATCTGTTTCAACACATTATACATTATTGAACCCATCTTTCTCAGTCTCCCCCCA